CCCCAACCCCATCCCAACCCCCCAGCCCATCCATGAATCTGACTCCTCCCCTCTCCTCCCCTCTCCTTCATCCCATCTCTTCACTTCATCCCATCCATGCCCTCCCTCCATCCCACACCCTTCATCACATCCACCCCATTGGTCGATCCCTCATCCGTCAGTCCATCCATCCAATCAAATCCCTAAACCTGTCCCCGCAAATTGATCCCCCTGAATCAATCTCCCCACGTCAATCCTCTCAAATCGATTCCATCAAATCAATTCCATTCCATCGCATTCCATCGAATATTCCATTCCATCAAATCAAATTCTATTCTGTCAGATCAAATCCCATTCCATCAAATCAAATCCCATTCTGTTCCGTCAAATTTAAATTCCATTCCATCCATCAAATCAAATCAAAGTCATCAAACCCATTCCATAAAATCAGATCAATTCCATCGAATCCATCACACCCAACCAATCAAATCAATCTTCTTTGTCACAGTCTCGGACCCCACCATCATGGTCACTTCTGATGTTTTTTCTTTCTCCCTTTTTTTTTTTCGCAGGGGCCATGCAAATCTTCTCTTTATTGTCCTGAAGGGCCACTTCTGATGTTTTAACGGATGGATTGATAATAAACACTCTGGCCATGTACAAGACTCTCAAGCTCGTCAACATGTTTGCTTGGAGCATTATTGGGATCATGTCAATGCCACATCATTGTGTGCAAAGGTCTTCCATCGTTGTTTTATGTTTTAACGTCATGTGTGGGAACTTGTTAGTGCTCTTTTTTTTAATTATTACCCAGTCAGAATTCACCTGGATACATGGATGCCAGAACTCACCTGGATCATGCTGGATGTATGAATGCCAGAATTCACCTGGATCATCTGGATGTATGGATGCCCAAGTGCATGATCTGCACCTGGACGTGCAGGTGCCCTGGTGTATTCCGATGGGGCCAGATTCCCCAAGTTGTTAACCAGAGTATGCTGTTTCTGTACCTCACCTAACGTACTAACATGGCATCCTGTGTCTGGGTTATGGACTCGATACAATTGTTGTGGCAATGGGGAAATCCGAAACAGCAAACGTGGCGCCATATAGAGAGCAGTTCAAAGAACATTTGAGCAAGATGATTTTTATCAGAATGTACCTGTATTGTGCAGATGGAAAGATGCATGATCTGTACTGTGAAGGTGCAGACATCCAGGGTCATTCGGATAGGGTCTGCGATTTTGATCAGAATTCTGGCAGAATTATCTTTTTGAAATCGCTCTTTCTCTGGCGTTATTGTTGTTGTTATTTTTGTTGTTGTTGTTGTCGTTGTTGTTGTTGTTGTTCACAGTTGTTGTCATTACTGGTTGGAATTTGTATCTTCGGGTATTTACGACATGTATGCAACATCGTGGTTGACCATGTGTCTTGAACTGCTCGAACTTGGGCGGCTTTTTAGGAAATGAAACCTTCCTTAGGATCTGATGTTTTGTTGGCACTTTGAATCAGCTTGGAGGTTATGTCGTCAGTCTGGAAACTCGCAAGGGTATGTGAAATGTTGAAGATTGCCAACTCGAGCTGAGAACAATACAACTATGCCCTTGCTCAGTTCTAGATTTTTTTCTCCATCTCTTTCCCGACTTTAATCTACTTTACTGGAGATTCTACCGGTCCAAGAGGGGAAATGGCTGTCTGCCCACAGGTTGATATATTGAACCTAGGAAGGTAAGACAGTCAACTGCTGACAATTTTTTTATTTTTATTTTTTATTTTATTTTTTTGGTGTAAAGAGGTCCTTATGGTCCTGGCTCCTTGTCCATTCTCGGGAGCGTCAGTCCGGTTCCTATTCCCCCAGCAACGACGGCAAGTCAAAATTGAGATACATAGTGTACACACTCATGCTTCCTTCCATATGGCCGCCGAAGGATCCCTAGCTAGCATTGATTGCTCCCTAGTATGAGGATTGACTGTCAGCTTGCCCTCCTCAGACTAATTCCTCTCAGGCACCGCGCCGAGGCCTGTCAAATGTCTTCCATCCTGCCCCCTCTTCATGAGCTTCTTGGAGCCACGTTGCCTTGTGGCTCTGACTGGTGCCACTTCCTCCATATCAACCTGTTGTCAGTTATGGTAGTGATCTTTCCCTGTAACAGCCAGTCTCTCGGAAATGCTAGTCTCTGATCGCGTAATTTTCTGGCCTGTGCTTCGATGCTGAGGTTATCTTATGCCATCTGCTCCGGATTCGGTTAGTCTCTCGGAAATGATCATCTCTGATCGTGTAATTTTCTGGCCTGTGCTTCGATGTTGAGGTTATCTTATGCCATCTGCTCCGGATTCGGTTTCAACCATGCTCAGTAGTAGGGACCACATTTCCTCCCTTGCCAACCTCTGTTCCCTCAATTGTCCGTATGCAGCTGCGCTTCCATATGACCCCCAGTGCCAACTTCCTGAGTAGTTTGACGCAGATTTCCTTGCTGCCTTTGAGATTCGTGGAAGTGTTAGTGAGAAGTAAGATAGTTGGCGGGGTAGTGTTGGGAGGTGGTGAGGAGAAGAGGGTAGACCATAGCTCCAGGACCTTGTTCCAGATCCAGACCGCTTCAGGACAGAAGAGGAGGCAGTGAGGGATATCTTCACGTGTGCTGTTATTGCGCAGAGCTGTTATTGCCCAGAACACAGAATTCTGAGCTATTTGGGTCTGAGCGTTTCCTCCTTTTGTGGCAAAAGGATTGCTGAGAAAGAATTTTGAATCCTCTGTTTTGCAGCTTTTATGTTTTTCTGCATGGAGAACCGGAATCGCGTGCAAACGGAGTGCCCGGGAGCGAAATTTGGCGAGATCAATAAGGTAAGTCAGTCGGCAGACTCAGCACTCTTCCTGCTTCCTTGTGTTAGTGCCGAACAGGAAAGAGAAGTGGAAAAAAAAAGTCTTGAATTGCAGACAAAAAGGGTAGTCCCATTGCTAGGCACTGGCTGCTTAAACCACCAGTACCTTTCCCATATATTGTCGACTGGGGAAAAAAAGTAGAAGTGTTTCTACTACTTTCTAGTCGGGTGTATTTGGGCACTCCCATACTGGCCCGTTTGTTTCATGATTGTCCGGCCTTCTATTCCGACGTGACTTCCGGAGGTACTGGTGGTTTGACGAACCTGTAAGGAGTGCACACTTTCAAACCTGCACTACATCCAAGTCTGAGTGCCTGTCCTGTCTCAGCTTTTGCCAAAGGCATTTTGAACACTGGACTGGCAGTGATGAAGGTTATATAATGATGGGAGGTGCATGCGGTGAAAACCGGATATGGACACGAAAAGCTTTCCCTACCGGCTTCATCCGAATAGAATGCCCTGTCATCATTGCCATATCTAAATGGAAAGTTGCCCGAAATACAGCCATAATGACCGGGTGTTCTATTAGGGTGAAGACGGTAATAGTATCACGCTTCCAGGACAGATTCGTGTGCGAAGTTCTTAGAATGATTGTAGAAGTTAAAGCATATTTATTTATGAACCACACTTTTCCAAGTTTTCCCCTTATTTTTATGTCACAATATTTTGGTACTCTTTCAGTGGGGCCTGAGAAGAGCACGTGACGCAGCAGCAAACTGCCGAGGACAGGGTTTCTGGACGAAGTGCAAAGTCCTACAACGTTAGTACAAACACATGACTGATAATAGTGTGGCAAAAGGACTGCTTGCTTTTCACATCTGTACATACTGGTTGTCACCATTGCAGGACTCTTAGATTGTCTTCATCGGAACTTCCCCAGGAACTGCCGGGCTGATTTCTTTAACCATTGTTGAAGCCGAGTTACTGGATCACAATTGTGGGTCACTTGGCGGGGAAGAACCAAGCAAAACCAAAGGTCGACTTTCATCTTTGGTTTGTTTGTGGTTACATCGACTTGTGGAAAAGGCTGACAGTGCCCACTGCACGGTCGGCACCTACTTTTGGCATTATTTCATTTGTTGCATTTCAGCTATAATCAGCTATTCCATTCGGACTTTGTCGTTTCTTAACAGTAGTTTATTTTCATTCACTGTGGTGATTACATCGTTCTTCCTTTTTTTTTCCCTTTTCCCCTTGACAGGTACTTGGCAAGGAGTGGAATGCATTACCAGAAGGAGAAAAGGAGGTTAGTCTGTTCTCCAAAACATTTGTAATTTGAACTAATTTCAGTGATGTCTTTCTGATCTTTCTGTGTAATGCTGTTCGCAGGAAGTGTGTAAATCGTGTAATCAGTACTGATCACTTGCTAAAAGGAAAGATCAAGATCGGAAACCAGGTTGAGATACGGTAATCACGGACCAAATGGTCTGAGATTTCGCCAGCTCTGTACAAATCAAGGTTTTGTGGACGCGAAAATCCCACAGACACACAGCGCAAAGAAAGAAGCAAAGCAACAGTCAAAGTTCAAAAAAGTCATGTACGTCACCATCGTATGGAGTTGTAAGCCACCCGCTAACAAAACAAAAGACTGGAGTTACCAGTCTGCCAAAATGCTCAGGAAGCTCAGCGACTTTTTGCAAATCTCAAGCATATCAAAACACCCCCCCTCCTCCCTCCCCCCTCCCATCTTCCTTCAAGAGTTCGATGCAAGTGCTATCCACCAAAAGAATCATCACAGCCACCCTCCCTCACAATCAATAGTTTGATGAAGTTGCCAATGGATTCACTTTAAAGAGGGGAGCGACGGAGCAACGGGGCGTCTAGCGAGGTCCCGAACCTCTGCTGAAGGTCCCCCCACTGGGTGCAAATATGCCGCCCAGCGAGATCTTCGTCACGACGAATGGGCTGCAAGTTCCCGTCCCGTCTGCTCCTGACACACGTGGGGCGTGGTGCTTGCCAGACCCAATACCCCCTCACCATCACAGCTCTGTTCTACCCAAACTTGTATTTTCCTATGTTTGTCCGTACTTGCTTGTCGGTGATAAGCTACCGGACTGCCAGCCCCTAGAATAGAAGGGGCATGTGTGTTTTGAGTGAAAAAAAAATGAAGCTGCCAATGGATTACATTGGAGATGATTGGACTCAATTGAAGACTTTGTTACCTGTCGTAGCCACAGACCCCACAGCAAAAGCAATGAGCAGCTAACAAAACCACCAGCCAGTTAGCAATAGAGAAGCGGCGAAGAGCAACCGTACATAAAAGTGAAGACTCAACTCGAAGCAGACAGATTTGACAGTCAAACACAGTTTGTGTAGGCAGGCTCATGGGTGCAAGACCTCTAAAAAGTTATATCTAAAAAGTTCTATTATGCTTATTCCACACAGTGTGTGCACGCAAACTGGACTTGTGGTGCACGATCGCCACCGCACCCACGAGGCGCACGATGGGTGCATAATACTGCATACACAACAAGAAATCGAACAGGGAGGCAAGTGGTGCAGTGTTCGAACTTCGAATAGTGATTCGGAATGGCGATCTGGCATCCAACCATACTACATCAGGGTGACATATCTTCCAGTGTTTGAATTTTGAACAGTGTTTTGGAAGGATGATTTTGCTTCCAGCCGTATTACCCCAGAGCCCAGGGGACTTGGAGTCATCCATCTGGCATGGCAGGTTCTGTTTAACTTAACAGATTCACGGATGTAGTCTATGATAATTGAAAGGTTTATATAGCGTCATATCCGCTTCTGGGCACTTGACATCCTTGCTCAACTGATGCACTGTTTTTGTCAAAGAACTAAGTTTGTATGTAGTAGATATTACTTGACACTGTAAAGACCGCATGAAGACCACAACGAGTGTCTGATACGGCTCAGGCCCGCCAGGGGAGCCACAAAGGAGTAGTAGTTGGAAATTCCACAGGTCTTTGCATTTGTTATGATCCTGGCCAATTTCGAAGTACAAACTTGTGAGAAAGCACAATGCCGTCCAATTGCAAAAAGAAATGAATGAACACTAGAGGAGAGAGAGAGAAAGAAGAAGACGAAGAAAAGAAGAAAAAGAAGAAGAAGAAGAAGAGGAAGAAGAAGAAGATGTACACCAGCAAAGACCAATGATAATTCCCTGCTTGTCACCAACCACTCTCCTCCTCCTTTTCTCCTCCCCTCTTTATTCACAATAAATAATAATAATAATGTTGAATGTCTGAACCAGAATCAATGTCGCAATCCCTCTTCTACTGCAGGTACAACACGACCACCATAGCCATGGCCACCCTTCTGTTTTCTCTTCATGAAGGCCGAGGCTATGGCGGACTGGTAGGGCCTTGCCCTCATGTGCAAAAGACAACTCAAAGCAGCTATGGCTGCTCTCAGGCCGCCATGCCTGACTCTGCGTCAAAGCTTCTTGGTGTAGCACTAACCCAACTGGGGGCCTTCCAGATGCAGCACCCACCAAGGTGATGAAGATGGCGTCCACCATAGCCAGGTAAGTACCTCTGGCGCTCCCCCTTCCTAGTCCTCGTCTTCCTCCTCATCCAGCCCATGCTCCTCCACCATAGCCGACGCGGAGAGCTGGGCACTCCTTCCTCCCCAGCAGCGCTGGTCCAGCCAGCGCTCCAAGCAGTGTCTCACCAAACTTGCACACCGTAGAATGAGGAGGAGCTCTTTGCTCCTCCCGGAGATATGGAAGCCTGCTTGCCTCTTGGTTGGTGACTTCCAGGTCGCGTGCCTCCAAGCAACCTCCCTTTCGAAGGGAAACACCATTGCAGACTCTGATATTGCCCATACAGGCCCTAGACTCAGACTGGTTGGACTGGTACCTGCCTAGACCTGGCCTACAACGACTGGGCCTCTAAAACTGCCAACTTTTGTCTTCTTCTGCTCAGCCTGGAGTACCTGACACATGAGTCAAAGGTACTCTAAGTGGGCATCCTTCCCCACCACTTGAGTGTTTTCCCTGCCACAACCCTCAATGTCACGGCCAAAGGTAAGTACCGGCCCTTCGAGCCTCCCGTACGGACGAGTACCCTTGCGGGTCACAGACACACTCAAACCGACAAGCACTCAGACAGGCACGCAGACCAGCAAGCACGCACACACACAGACTTAGAAAACTCAGCAACAAGTAGGAAACTCAGCAAGGCATACATTCCATCGGCAAAACTCAGAAATCAGCTGTGTTTCTCAGTCCGTGTTTGGCAGGTCTTTACACATTGTAGAATGTCATATCTACCACTTGCTTGGTTCATATTTTCAGGTCTATCATTCACTAAAGAGATAACTAGATATCTGCCACTGTGACCTTTAAAGTGTCACCTTTGGGCACAGTTTGATCGTTGCTTGGTTTTCACAGTTTTATCCAAAAGTAAGGAACTGAGAGCATGTGCTTGAGACAGAATTCTACAGTTTTTAATTTTACGATTTTCATTTCTAATCCAAAAGTAAGGAACTGACAGCATTTGCTTGAGAGAACTTGAGACAGAATTTCACAATTTTATGAGTTGTAGTAAACTTTCACTGAATATGGGCCTGATAGGTGACCGATCTCTGTGATCCTGTGTGTTGAGAGTATTGTGTCTTGAAAATTTGATGTCACGTGTGCATTCGGCAGGTTTTTGAACTTGACGTCACATGTGCATTCGGCAGGTTTTTGAGCTAAGGGCTTCTTTAGAGAAAGCAGAATATGGGGCTCAGACAGCAAACAAAGCCTCTACAGCAAGAGAAAAGAAGAGAGGGAAAACTACAGCTCGTGATGGGGACGATCACCACACTGATATGCTAGAAGGAGAAGGAGAGGATGAAGTCACGGATTCTGATAACGGTAAGGAACTCTCTCGATGTTCATTTTGGTAGCTTTGTTTAAGATCCCAGACCCTCAGCTTTGATGCATACACCGCAGCAAACTAAATGAAGGGGAGCAAAGTATTTGGGTTCCCAATTCTCGTTTGCAGCTGTGATGAATGAAAGGAATGGAACATTTAGATGCCATCAAGGATGACTACGAAAGCAAAGCATGATCTGAGTAAATCCTCACAGAATGTGCTTTTTGTATTCCACTTGAAGTGAGCTTGAAGTGTCTTTATGTTTTCCTCTTTTGCCCAGGAAGGGTAACCCCTAACATGATTGCATTGTGCGCATTCAATTAGTATTTGAAGTTTGAACTCATGATCTGAACAGACTCAACAGAGTACATTGATCTTTTAGACAAAAGGCCGGGAAACATACTAGCATGAGACGAGTATATTTAATCTTTTTGATTCTTTTAGCCAAAAGGCCGAGAAACATACTTGCATGAGAGAGAGAGAGAGAGAGAGAGAGAGAGAACTTTGCTGTTGCTGTTTTTGCTGTTATTTCTCATCACTGCAGGGCTTTCGTGGGCTCTGACACTGTCTTCCTGTGATTTTTCTGGAACATCCAGTTGAAGCACCCCTTCACTTTCCTATCGTTGCAGGTCTGCTTGTGACAGCCTCTTACTGGCACACATGTACGAGCGTGCTTCAGTGGACTTTCGGAATTACAAACCTGGTCCAGAAGTCGGCAGTAATGGGATCCTAGTTTTGCAAGGAACATAGTTATTATTTATCTAGAAAAGTGGAAAACATTCAAAACAACCACTCTCCATTTGACTAATCGAGCTCAGACTGTGTTGGGCTTCCGTACCTTGCATTCTATGAACTAAAAGGTCCATGAGACCCAATCATTTGTAAACATTATCTCGATTAAGATTGAATGGCATTCCCGCTTACCGTCAAGAAATTTGAACTCCTTGCCTACCATCTATTCCCTTAAGAACGGTTGGAACTCTTGGGCTACTTCCGACTGAAAGATTTGACTTCTCTGTGCACAATCCATCAAGGAAAAGACAAGTTTGTGAACTCTGGTTGATTTTCTTTCCAGATTATCAAGTTGCCGTTCTGTGTGCTGATCCTCGGTGGTCATTGCCTGTTCAACTACTTCTGCAGAGATGGATACTGATGGTCACGTTGGGCGACATGATGTGGACGAAGGTGGTGATCTTGAGGTACGTTAGCAAATTCCGTCAGCTCTAGACACTTGAAGTTGATCTGGAGACTCTAGAGACTTAGTTGCACCACTCGCTGTCCGGCAAATTTTCAATGAATCTGGATCCACCAAAATTCTGAATGAATCTGTTCTGAATGAATCTGGACAGACGCGTTGTCTACGTGCATTCAAAACGTTGGCAGATGGCGAGTAGTTCAACTAGGCCCTCTACTTAGTTTTGCACAAGGCAATTACGATCTGAGTGTGTTGGTTTGCCCGACCGCGCGGTGGTTGCGTTAAACCACCAGTGCCTTCGAGACTATTTTAGTATTTTGTCAAGCGTCTTGTAACCAAAGCTCGCCTTGCTAGATATGGGTAGGGTAGCTAGGCCCCAAAGAGGGATCGGCGACCGTGGGGCCACCTAAAGTGATGTCTGGTCTCCCGGGCCCGGTGTCGAAGGCCCCAGCATGCCACAGTATCCCAGGGGTCCTGAGAAAAAGAAACAATCTGAGGGTTCGGGTGCGCAGTCGAAGGCTGCCAGACTGCCGCAGGCTACCACCAAACTGCCCCAAAGCCTCCTTGTATACTGGCACGAACCACGAACCGCAGGGCTTTCAGAGGCTTTAGTGGGAAGTAAGCATGATGAGCATCTGCCTCGTCTGCTTTTGTGCGGTGGGCTCTGCTGTACGTCAGGTCTGAGCCTGATCAGTGTCATTTTCTCTTCTTTTGCAATGAGGTAGCCCCTACCCTTCTGATTCAATTAGGATTTGAACCAGGGACCTGTTTATCAATAGTTACACGTGAGTACCTTTCAGCCACATGGGGTGGGTACCTGATCAATTTTTACCCCCCTGATTACCACCGATCTCATTGAGACCACACATTCCATGTGTCTCCACACAGTTTCTTCAGTGTGTTGCTGCTAGCTGAAGGGTGCACAGTCGACATGTCTGAAGCTGTGAGGTTGAGGGATGAAAAACCTGTTGAATATGGTAATGTGAAAACACTGAAAAGTCATGTGGTAATGGAAAATGTCTTACTTCCAGAGAAACAAGAGATCATTTTCCATCTCACCCTGTGATTGTTCATCTGAGGGAAAATGTGGATTGAATCATTGAAGGGGAAAAGTGCTGAGAAACAGTTCCCAGACAATCCATCATGCTAACAGCGGGCGAAGATGAGGTTTTCACTTCTTTTTTCAATGCCCTTTTTTGCCATTATGGTATGCAGCATACGGTTTGTACCAGTGTTCTGTTTGTCAACACACGTATGTGGGTACCACTCAGCCATGTGGCTGGGTTTTCCTCCCCTTTTTTTTTTTTTTTCCATCGAGTCCAGGTAGCAGTAGAGGTCGTATGCTACCTCGGGAGGGAGACACCTGTACTACTCGACCATGGGAGGATCCAATTGGTTGCGAACTCGCTAGGGATTGTCACCCCCCCGGAATATCTTTTTTTCCCTGGTCTAATCTCATAGCAGATTGCAAGTCAAGTCAGCCATGTGGCTGTTTTTTTTTGCAGGTAGTAGTAGAGGTCGGATGCTAGGCCTAGCAGATCGCAAGTCGAGCCCTACAGCAGTGTACCCTAGCCAACCCTTAAGCCCACGCATAGACTACACTTACCCGCAACCCTTGCGGGGAGCTCACCATGTGGACAGCTCTAAGGACCAACCCTGCTATGCCACTCCATACCGCCTAAGTATGTGGTTCCCTGGCCAGCAGAGGGCCCCAGATGACGACCCGGACACAGGAGGGGTCCTGAGGAGACAGTCATACCCCCTCTTGTGTCACATCAAGCAGACTCTATGGGCAGCTATCCACCCTTCTACTATCGATGTGACATCCCACCCACCCTTCTACCGATCCTTGATACTCTTAGCCAGAGACTCTTCCAAGGAATCGTACCCCAGCTGAGCCCTCAATGGGAATTCCCATAGATACCATCCTGGATGACTTGCAACCCTTGGGCATTGAAACTTGAAAAGTTATAGAGGGGCATTCCGCCCTCAGGAATCAGATGTGTCTAACACCCAGCCCCTACTACTGCTCAAGCGGGAGCGTAGAGAGATCAGATGAGTCTAACACACAGCCCCTACTACTGATCAAGCGGGTGCGTAGGAGATGGTCCACACGCCTCGGCCGCAGAATCATGTCTGTGTATGGACTATCCT